TTCCCTGCACCCTCCACCACCCTCGCCTGCCATCGCCATCATGGGGCTGATTCTATAGTATTTGATTCTGAGACCAGTCGACACAGCCCAACTCCGCCCACTTTTCCCTCCAAAATTGCCGTCGAGGTAAATATCAAGTGTGAACGGCAAATTTTAGCGCACAGCCTTACCACAGCCAACTCGGCCAAAAACCTAATCCGTCCTCCGTTCCATGAAAAATCATCCCTTCCCTTACTGTAACATTAACGCTACCTCGCGAAATACGACCCCCCTCTTTTCCACCCCCCAAATACGACCCCCCCTCGTTGGACTTTGGACTTTGTCCAACGGACGGTTGACCCTGTTTTAGACCACTAGTTCATCGGCGCGCTACGAAAAGTCCTTCCCTCGCAGCTATCCTGCACCCTGAGCAACCCCGATTCGTAACACAACCCTTCAAATCGGTAATTCGTCCCTGTCAAATTTTTTGGACTTTCCAGCTGCTTCCGTATACTTGGCTCTACAAACCATATACGCCAGGTTGGGCAGAACCTCCTCAATGGTCTTACGCACGAGTGCTTCAATCAGAACTTTTGGCTAATCGGAGGCAACGTCCGATATCCGACCACTACTCTCATCATATTCAAGGCTCTCGCTTTCGTTACAATAACTTTTTGAACTACTGCTTCAAGCACATTTATTGCGAATCTAGGCCAAGTGCATCGTTAATATCTTGAACTGTTCCCGCTACTTTCAGGTCTATTTAAAGCTAGAAAAAGAAAGTCATGCCAACTTGCTCATCGAGTATACCGCATTCAAAGCTTTGAAAAAGCTATAAGAAAATGTTTTAGGACAAAGTTGAGCTAAGCATTGGATAGAGCAGGAAAAGCTTCTTCAAATAGTATCTGTATCGATTGCAGATTTCAAGAAAAATGAAAGCATCCAAAAGTGGAGTGTCAAAAACCGACAGAACCTTTTGAAAGATCTAATACATATATCAAGAATTAGGGTCGAATTGAGATGGAAGCCATTTTAGAAGGTCATGATTTCCTAAACGGACTACTAAACGTCGCTAAGGATGTTGGCAAAGTGATCGAGCAGCATCAGAATGGAACAGATACCAGCTCATGCGGTATGTCGTAAATGATCACCATTTGGAAGAGCGGGTTAAGTCGTTTGGATACAGTGAGCACCCGAACTGGGCGTAAATTACGATGTTCCTGCCGCAGTCACGTACAATGCGCGACGCATTGACGCGCCTTTTCGGGGTCAGTCGTATGGTTGTGCAATCAATGAGGCTACCCCGGCTCTCCGGGGCTGCAATAAGCGTCGCAGCGTTCGCCTTGCCGCTTGTGCGGCGCAGTATAGTTGGCGAGTTTGATCGGCACTTTTCTTTTCGTTGAGAGGGTGCAGAAAAAACGAGAAGAGGGATACGAGCACACGTTTCAGCGCGAAATTGTACCAAACTTATAACTCGGTTGCAAGAAGTCCGGAGACCGGGGAAAAGGCTATGGAGTTCGACTACGGAAGGGGAATCAACACCTAGGTGGGTGGCGCTTGCGCTGATGTGGGCGGGGTTATCCACTAAACACTATAACTCGGCCCCAAGAAGAGGTGAGACCGGGAAAGAAGTGTGTAGAGGTTGGCAAAGTGCCGAGCTGCTGTCGAGTGCCCTTGATGGGTGGGCCATGTTTCAAGGTGGGCGGAGTTTGTTGTGATACATCATAACACCGTTTTCCAAGCCTATAACTCCTTTCTAGGAAGTTCCAGAGACTGGGAAAAAGTGGACAAAAGTTAACGAAGGGAAGGAAGTCAAACTTCATTAGTGGGCGGGGCGTGCTCC